AATTCATTTCACACTGGCTTACTCCAGATGTAACACACTAGAGGAGCTGATTTACACACACACACACACACACACACATAGTTTCATATGCTGCTTCCAAAACCAGAGAGGCAAAACAGAGCACATGGGTTCCCACATTGGCTGTCAATACTGTTTACCACATTTCCATCAGAAAGTGGGAGCAACAGCAGCAGATGAGCAGCCAATATAGGCTCATTAATCATTGTGATTGGTGAATGAACTCTGTCTCTACACCGTCAGAGCAGGAGGGATAAACACCTGTGTGGAGATGCAAGTGGTTGGCCAGATGTTGAAGGATTTTAAGGAGAGATGTTGAACAGAACGTGGAGAGCACAGCTGTATATGGAGAAAGAATGAGATACAGATGACGGTACTCACAGGTGGCAAGACTTGTTTTTCCATGAACTTCAAAACCTTTTGATCTAAATTATTTTGCTTAAATGCTTAAAGGGGTCATATGATGCGATTTAAATTTTTTCTTTCTCATTGGAGTGTTACAAGCTCTTGGTGCATAAAGAAGATCTGTAAAGTTGCAAAGTCTCAAATCCAAAGAGATATTCTTTATAAAAGTTCAGTCAGCCACACCTACCTAAAACGGCTCGTTCTAACACGCCTCCACATATCTACCTCACTATGTGGGAAGATTTGCATAACGCCGCCCAAATGTTCACGCAAAGAAAGAAGGCGTAACTTTTATTCTCACTGTAGTATTGTTGACGCTGCAGCCATGTCGTGAAGGCACTGTGTGCTTCGTTGTGAAAGTGAAACTACTTTGTTTGGTCTTCCAAAAGAGGACAATATCTGCTTCGTTGTGCCTAAAGCTGATCTGTGCTGGTCGTGAGGAAATACATCAACTTTCACTGTGGACAATGCGGAGTCCAGCCCGGGCTCGTCTCATTCGTCGCATCCGCCGGGCACGCCGTTCTCGACCCCGCCGCCTCAGCTCACTCTATCCCAGCCTCAGCGCACGCTAAGCCGGGGCTTCCCCTCACACTAGGCCGCTGTGTTTTTCGTTGTGAAAGCGAAACTACTTTGTTTGGTCTTCCAAAAGAGGACACGACTACAAATCAGTGGTATTTACAACACTGTTCCAGAACAGTTTAACCCAAATATCCAGATGTGTGCAACGCATTTTATGTTTACTGATCCTGGAAGAGTAACGTTAGACTACAATGCCGGCAGTTCTGACTCGCGTAAGTACATTTTCATTTAAAGGATTTCCCACTGATGACTCAAATGCGAGTTTTGGGCAGTAGAGTAGCACTTGTTGTTTGTCATTTCTCCGATCACAAATGCAGACAGAGTTTTATGTTTACGCGGTGCGATGCAATGCAACGCAACGCGTAAAAAGACAGTATAAGTCATTATAATCAGTAATTATGTCCCCACTGGATGCAACAAATGCCTCGTTTGTAATGGGTTTGAATGTTCTTGTCTCGTCGCTCCGGCCGGACACGGCATCAACAGTATGTGAGGGGTGTAACATTTCAGTCTCACGCTTGAGGTATTCGGCCAATCACAATGCATTGGATAGCTGGCCAATCACAGCACACCTCGCTTTTTCAGAACGATGAGCTTTGTAAAAATCGATGCGTTTCAAAAAGGTGGGGCATAGAGGAGAAACAATAATGTACAGTATGTGGAAAATAATGCGTTTTTTTTTTTACTTTAAACCGCATAAACACATTTCATTACACCAAATACACAAAATAATGTTATTTTTAGCAGCATCATATGACCCCTTTAAAATAAATGTAGCAGACAATTGTAAGTTGTGCCTACATATTTTTTTATATTACTGCACAAAACTTAAATAGATTTAATTAACTTACTATTTAATCAGCCATTATGTATTGTTTCGCCACTACACAATTTCTATACTTCCATTTGTTATTGTTTTTTTAAATAATAATAATAAAAATAAAAGATCATTATAAATATTAAAATTTGAATAGCACTTTTCATGCATGCAATACAACTCAAATGGCTTCACAGATCAGAATAAAACATTCTAACAAAATAAATGAGAATACTTCAAATAAATATATAAATGTAAATTGTGCCTATACATATTTTTTTATAATAAAAGTAATATCACTTTTTTATAATTAGATTTTTTTAATTACTTCACTACACAATTCCCATACTTCTATTTGTGTTATTCCTTAGTTACAATAATAATAATAATAATAATAATAATAACAACATTAATATTAAACAATAAAATGATCTGGATAGCTCTTTTCTAGCATGATGCAGGTTAAAGAGCTTCACAGATTACAATATAGAAACACTATCAAAATATAGTGAGTCTATGATTTCATTGTTGACTTTATTACTATATTCCACATTTGATAATATATCATAATATAGTTTGTCAAACATTTGTCTAGTACTGTGAATGATCTGTTGAGAGAGTAATGAAAAAATTACGAAAGGAGACCGAGAGAGATAAAAAAAAAAAGAAAAAGAGTGGTATTAAACTGACCTTCAGAAAGACAAACTTCTCTTTGATCTGGGAGCAAGAGACAGACTTTAACTCCAGTTCAAAGCTTGCCTACTCTAGACTCAACAAACCCTTTAGGAATAAAAATAAAAAACTGGGAGGGAAAAAAAACAAACTACAGCCTGGTTTGCTCACGTTCCTCCATCTGGATGGAGGCATACTTATTTAATTCCTGTTTGTTGAATCACAAGCGTCATCATAAATTAGCCCCACACAAACACGCTGTTAAGTTTGTAAGAGGTCATGCACACAAACAAAACCACGAGTCCCGGATCAAAACACAGAGACAACAGCAGAACCAATAGCAGAACTTCCACCTGCACTATTCACCTGGAGCCTTTTTGATGTGTGTGTATGTGATGTGCCGACCTGCAGCTGCGTTTGTGCACGCGGCGTTGTCACAGTCAGACTGAGAGGTCTGACTGAGCCTCAGCCAACCTGATGAATCCCTTTCAAATCAACATGTAGCCTTCCAGATGGGCACCAGTCACTATGTTAAAACGGGCTATGATACAGGCCTTAAAATAGGGATATGCAATTAAACTTCCAATCTTTAAAGTTCCTTCTCAAGTCCAAAAAACTCATTTGTATGCTAATAGCCATAGGTGAGCATAAGAAACTTCTTTCAAAAACATAAAAAAATGTTAATGATTCTAATATTTTGACCTATAGGGTGAAAATGTATTTATTTATTTATTTATGCAATCAATCATTCATTTTTTTTTGTATGTTTTTGAAAGAAATCTCTAATGCTCATCAAGGCAGCATTTATTTAATCAAAGATACAGTAAGAGCAGTGATATTTTTTTAAAATATGTTTAACCTTTCAAATAGCTGATTTCTATTTTAATATAGATTCAAAATGTATTTATTCCTGTGATGGCAAAGTCATTATTCCAGTCTTCAGTGTCACATGATCCTTCAGAAATCATTTTAATATTTCTTATTATTACAAATGTTGAAAACCATTGTGCTGCTTAATATTTTTGTGGAAACCATGATACATTTTTTCAGGATTCTTTGAGGAGAAAGTTAAAAAAAACAGCATTTATATGTAAAAGTCTTTACAGTCACTTTTGATAAATATAATGTTTAGTGTGTGTGTGTGTGTGTATATATATATAGGATTTTATTAACTTCCCCAGACCTACAAATCTCAATTTTAAAATTGCCTGACATTTCAAAGTTTCCTATGACTTTGTGTCTTTAGCACAAAGAAACTACTAATGAGTGACCAAGGTTTATCCACGTGATCAAATCAATATTTCGGATATATAAGGATACCAAACACCAGAAAGCCACACACACACACACACACACACACACACACAGGTAGTAGCCATTGAGCCCCATTCCCAATCTTCTGGACATGCTGGGTTTAACAGCAAATGTGACAGTATACATCAATCTACGGGTGGGAGCCGAAGGAAACCTGGTGAGAAAGTGAGAAAGCGACTGGAGCGGCATATGTTTTCAGTATCAATCACACTTTGTTTTTTTTTGTCAGTGATGGTGCATTGTCCTCAGTGCGCCGTGGCCTGTTTCTCCGCTCCTGTCCTCATCGATCCATTTGCTTCAACAGCTCCTGAGCAAGCTCATCAATCTCTCCGCGTTTCTCTCCCAGACTGCAGGCCGCTGGCCACTATCAGGACATCACTTGTGTGGGAATGTGCAACAGCATGTGGACACACACTCACACACACAAATGCAACACACTTCTCAGATGGCCATATGTTGTGCATTTAACAAATAAGCCAACACATTGAGCCTCACATGCAGGGATTACATGTCCGTTTCCTGGCACAATATCCTTTTTCCCTTGTTACTGGTTTAATTGACATGCTAAGCTCACTCTTACTCTTTTCTCTCCATCCTTTCCCTTCAGCATACCTCTCACCTCTAAAACAACTCTCTCTGCTCATATTCATCTCTCCCTCTTCACTGCTCTCTTTAAATCTTTCCTACTTTCAAGGCAGAAGTGAGAGAGCAGGTGAGCGAGTGATTTACAGCGTCTATATGAAGGGAGCTTTGGATCACTTCATAAATCTCTGGCTGCACTAATGGCTGCTTATAAGGGCTGTGGCCATAAGTGTCTAGATTTTGAGACACACTACTTTAATAGAGTCTAAATAGCATCTTATAAACACACACACAAAAAGAACAACTTTCTCAGCACAGCCAATATACAACATAAGATCAAAAATTTAAACTGTGTGGCAGCTATTGCATAAATACACAGTCATGCAGCAAGGATCTGTTGGTTATGGCCTCTTTACCTCAGTCACACTGCCTGGATTTATTGTACTGTAGGAAGAGGCTCAGACGCTTTGCAAACTGCCGCCACACTTCATCCATCTCTCCAATGCTATTCAGTAGAATCTGAGCTGATGCTGAGATGTTGAGAAATGCTTACTGATAAGTTTGTGATTATTTGTCTGAGGCTAGTGTGCGGGCAGTTCTCTCTTCCTCTCACCTTGTTCCTCTCAAACAGCTCACACTGGATGGTCTTGAGGTCGGTGTCCAGGGCGCTGGCGGCCTGCCTGCGTTTGCGTGCCAGCTGCTCCTCCAGGTCTTCCATCTGGGCACGCAGCTTTTTGTTTTCCCTCTCCAGAGCCAGCTTTTCCGTCTCCAGACATTCCCGACGACCCCACTCTGCTGCGTTCTCCACCTGCAGACGTTCCATCTGCACATATACACACACATATTATACATAAGATAGCGAGGGAAGTGGGAGACATGACAACACATTACAAAACAAAAATTTAATGAGGACAATAAAGTAATTTTTGAAAGTAAACGCTTACTACCAACATTTCCAAATCTTTAACACAAAATTTTAGCATAATTGACCCTTCGCAGGGAGTTCGATTGACAGGCGATCTGATTGATCTGGTCGGGTCTTTGATCTAAAAAACAAAATATGCATCACTCCACAACCATTTAAACTGAATGTAAATGTTCACAATGGTCTAATATTTTTTCATGGAGCGTAGGTGAATTGTATTCATTTATTTATCCATGTCCGTACAACGCAGTATGTGGTCGGGAAGATTTTTTTAAGGCTGAAAGCAGCCATCTATGCTTACTAAGGCTGCATTTATTTAATTAAAAACACAGTAAAAACAGTAATATTTTGAAATAATATTATTTTAAAAAGTATTAACCTTAAAAAAACTTTTAAAAAAATATTTTCAAATATATTTCATACAGTCCTATTGTTCATTTAGGAATTTCCCCCACTTTTTTCGTACAAAATGCTACTACTTTATTTTTAGTTTTTTTTATTCTGTCAAATTCAGTAAATAAATACTTTTAAAAGAAAAACTGTTTTGCAGAAATGTCAATGTAAATTTTTGTCATGTTAACAAAAACACTCACACAAATAGTTTTATTATGTAGGTTTAGGTTCCCAAACCAGCTTGTTAAGCTGCTTTGGAACAATTTATTTCGTAAAAAGCATTATGCAAATAATTTGGACTGAATTTACTGCAATTAATTTTTTGTTGCACTTGATCTAACTAAAACGTACTAAAAATGCTAATGCAAATACTGTGTGCAAAACTCATAAAATAAATAAATACATAAAATATGAAGAGACCGTATATCATTTGCACATACCCACGATCAGGAAGGACTAATGCTGCATTAGCACACAGCCCCCCCCTATTAGACCAGAATGATGTTGAACTACGTGAAGGGCTCTCCATGATTTCCCAGTTCTGCCCTGCTGCTAAAAGCAGTTTAATGGGAAACCATCATCTCTAGATTCACCTTAAGTGCTGGCTGACTTTCCTGGCATACCCCAAACTCTCTCCAGACCAACTGGTCATTAATATTTCTATAATGTCATCTGACTGCTGATATGAGGCAGTGCCTGTGAAATGCCTTGATTCCTCAGGGCAGAGATGAAGGGAGGTCACTGTGGGGTTTTGGAGATGAGGGGATGCAGCGGATCTGAGCCGACACATGGGAATGGGCAGTGCTCTTTATGGAGCGCATCAAAGTGCATAATGTCATTCTCTCCTGCCAGGTTCATATCAGCAACACCCTGCTGCTAACACTGCATGCTGGGAATGTGTTAGAGCAGCGTTCTGTCATTACGCCAGCTTGACTAACAGAGGGACGCGGTGCCTGGTGTCGTGCTAGTCGAAACGCAGGAAGACAGAGGATGGATGTTAAAGCCCTGAGGGTGTTTAGCTTTGATGTAGATCACAGTGTGTCCTGAGGTGACACCGAACCGGCTGTGCCATGCAAAACAGTGCAGTATGGGTAGGATACAGAAAATGTACATGCATTTCACCTCTGTACGGAGCTCCGCCAGTTTTTTGTCCATGCTACTCCGAGCCCCCAACTCGTCCTCTAGATCTTCAGACATGCGGCCCAGCTCATCCTGATGCACCTCTTTCAACAAGTTCAGCTGCGTGAGGGATCGAAAAAGACAAAGAGAGTCATTCTTTTATCTCTGAACTTCTGATCTTGAGTAAAACTTTCTTCCCTTTGCTTTGTTGGAGGTTATCTATGGTATTCAAATAAACTACTAGTTCTGACTATGCCAAACTACGCAATACTCCGAAGATGCCATTGATATTCAAACAGATTTAACATTCTGATTGTGAATGAGTCTGCTTTTTAAATTAATTTCACAGTTGATGAAACTGTGAAACTGTGAAACTGCGCTCATTTAATACAACTTGTACCGACATTCTGCGGCAATACGGTCTAGCACATTTGCCATTAAGGGAGAGGGGCACTACGGTCAAAGTCTGATCTCTCTACAGCGTATCACACTCAGCGTACGGTGACTCAAACACATTGATTAACATTCGCTGCAAGTCGTGAGCTCACACAGCTGGGCTGGCGACAGGCAGCTCATCTGTTAAACTACTGAGAATGGCACACACTCTCGTCCTACTCATCATCTCATGGTATTCATGCACATCCTTAGGGGTTGAGGTTATTAAAAAGAGAATCACGTCTCTTCCTACTCATCATCTCTCTACTATATGCCTATGACGAAGTCTAGGTGTATGATGGTAAATGAGTCCCTTATTCTCTCTATGAGAGTGAAAGTTTCTCTGGGCCCAATCAGTGCGGCTGTATTCCATAAAATTGCCTGACTGAAAGAAATCCTGAGCAGCAAACTCTAATCATTCACAAACAATGCCAGACTGTCTCGTTCATAGGTAACAACTGTCCCCTAGTGGTGCTCTATTAGAGCTGCATCCTTTGCAGCACCCTATACAATTTTTACATTCATTTTTCTTTAGTTTGGATACATTTGACTGAATTAATGCTCCTCATGATCTTAAATGTTTGTGGTTAAATGCTTGAATTTTATATTAAAAAAATAAATAAAAAATACTCAAAAACACATCATCACACAAATATCATTTTGTGTTTGTATTTTGTCAGTCGGGAGTTTTGACACCCTTGACAGAATTTATGCTTATATACTATTATACAAAATATACATATTCCTAGTCAAAAGACAAAAAAACACTACCATTCAACAGTCTGTGGTTAGAAAGCTTTTTAACGAAATTAATACTTTTATTCAGCAGGGATGCATTTTATTGATCAAAAGTCAAATTAAAATTGATCAAATTCTATTTCAAATAAATGCTGTTCTCAACTGGAGGGCTGTAACCCAAAAATATCCACAAAAATATTTTAAATAATAAAGCAGCACAACAATTTTCAACTTTGATAGTAGTAAGAAATGTTTTTTTGAGCAGCAAATCAGCATATTAGAATGATTTCTAAAGGATTATGTGACACTGAAGACTGGAGTAATGACTGCTGAAAATTGAGCTTTACCATCACGGGAAAAACGGCATTTTCAAAAATATTTAAAAGAGAAAACAGTTATTTTAAATTATAATATGTCACAGTATTATTGTTTTTATTTTAGGTAAACGGTAGTGTATATTGTGTAGGAAAACAGCCAATAATGAATACTGTTTAAATAGCAAGTGGATACATCATGAAGTTGGAAGAAAGTGTGCAGAACTACACTACTGGAAAAGGGACAACTAAAATATAAAACGATTTTAGTCTTAAGATGATTTGGTCAAAACATAATTCCGTTTATTTTACAGTTTGGATGATTATTATTTATATTTTCCAAATTATTATAGTTCCACATTTTAGAAAAGTAGCAAAGAAAGAGTAGATGTGTTTAACATTCTGCCTTTTATTATGTCTTTGAAGCAGGTATGACTGTATTTGGAGGATTTTTAAGTGAAGGTGAAGCACTGGGTTTTGATGAACAGGCCACCAGAGCATTCAACCCAGTGCACTCACCATGCATTCTTCCTACTGATTAAAGCTCTGACTATAAATTGCCCAGAGGAAACTGGACAAAAGGCCAAGGATTCCATGCTCTTTTAACATGGAAGTGCTGGAGATCAGTTTCTCATGAGAATATCATGTGTTATAGTGTTCCTGGCTTCAGCAATGTATCTGTTATTTGTAAATCAAACACGATCCACAAATAACAAATACAGCATTGAAGCCAGAATACTAATGTTGCCAATTAAGGCTCAGCAATGGGTGTCTTGACTTGATGGCCAAAAGCAAAAACAAATTGCTTATAATACCATAATTCAATAAATGAAGCCAGTAAGCTAAATGTTCCACAGCTGCTACAAAGCTATTTGGCTTTGAGTTAGATTTATTGCAGGTTCCTGAAGAATTATTGTCATAATACACTATATGCATTAGAAAAAATTCTGAATAGTTTTTCCAACCTTTTGACAATATTTAAGATATCTCAGTATTTATAACTTTATATATTTATGACTGTGCTGAAATGAACCAAAAGGGTGATTTTTTTGCAATCAGAGGAACTGTAATTTCAGTCTAACAGTCATAGTTGCTCAGTAGATTCACAATATTTAATGCATATTATAAATCTAGTTAAAAGTAACCTAGGTATGTTTTCCACACCATTTGTCACTAAATGAACACAAGGTTATAATGTTGCTTGATTTTACATCACCAGCTAAATCACTGTAAATATATGAGGAATATTCTATATATATATCTTTCATTCCTAACAGGCTTTAAATGCATAGTTGACCTAAAAATGAAAATTCTGTCATTAATTGCTGACCCTCATGTCATTCCGAACCCGTAAGACCTTCGTTCATCTTTGGAACACAAATTAAGATGTTTTTGATGAAATCCAAGAGCTTTCTGTCCCTGCATAGACAGCAAAGCAACTGACATGTTCAAGGCCCAGAAAGGTAGCAAGGTCATCGTTAAAATAGTCTACGTGGCATCAGTGGTTCAAGCTTAATGTTATGAAGCTACAAGAATACTTTTTGTGCGCAAAGAGAACAAAAATAACGACTTTGTTTAACAATTTTTTCTCTTCTGTGTCAGTCTTCGACGTGCATTCATGACAGTACCATGATGCATACGTGTGCATTCCTCTGCTTGTAAACAAGGCGCAGTGCATCCGGGTTCTAAGTCAGAATGCCAGCTCCTGCGTCAGCAGCACCACACGCATGCATTGTGGTACTCTCGTGAATGTGCAGAGAAGAAAAATAAATTGTTGAATAAAGTTATTTTTGTTTTCTTTGCACACAAAAAGTATTCTTGTAGCTTCATAAAATTAAGGTTGAACCACTGATGTCACATGGACTATTTTAAAGGGTTAGTTCACCCCCAAATGAAAATTATGTCATTAATTACTCACCCTCATGTCGTTCCAAACCCGTAAGACCTTCGTTCATCTTCGGAACACAAATTAAGATATTTTTGATGGAATCTGAGAGCTCTCTGACCCTGCATAGACAGCAACGCAACTGAAATGTTCCCAGACAGAAACGTAGCAAGGACATCGGTAAAACAGTCCATGTGACATCAGTGGCTCAACTTCAATTTTGCGAAGCTACGAGAATACTTTTTGTGCGCAAAGAAAACAAAAATAATTTATTTAACAATTCTTCTCGTCTTCTGCCATTTTGGAGAGTACTCAAGAACGTAATCTGCGTTGTTTATGTTGGGGGGAAAGTGTGTGCATAAACGTAATCGGCGTAATCAGCATAGTTTACACTTAGGGTAAAGTGTGCGTATGTGTTGTGATACTCTCCAAAATGGCGGAAACCAGTAACTCAGGGGAGAAGAATTGTTGAAAAAAGTCGTAATTTTTTTATTTTCTTTGCGCACAAAAAGTATTTTCGAAGCTTCGCAAAATTGAAGTTGAGCCACTGATGTCACATGGACTGTGTTACTGATGTCCTTGCTACGTTTCTGTCTGGGAACATTTCAGTTGCGTTGCTGTCTATGCAGGGTCAGAGAGCTCTCAGATTCCATCAAAAATATCTTAATTTGTGTTCCGAAGATGAACGAAGGTCTTACGGGTTTAGAACGACATGAGGGTGAGTAATTAATGACATAATTTTCATTTCGGGGTGAACTAACCCTTTAACAATGTCCTTGCTACCTTTCTGGGCCTTGAATGTGGTAGCTGTGTTGCTGTCTATGCAGGGACAGAAAGCTCTCGGATTTCATTAAAATTGTCTTAATTTGTGTTCCAAAGATGATCAAAAGTCTTACGGGTTTGGTTTGGCACGACATGAGGGTGAGTAATTAATTTTCATTTTTGGGTCAACAATCCCTTTAAGACAGAGTCTGCCAGGAAAATAAAAATGGGGTTGTGTTGCTCTGATTTGAGATGATTCTTCATTGCTGTGTTGCTTCTTCTTTTATTGTTGTAAAAGTCTACAGAATAAGCTTCCTCACCTGTTTTAGAGCCTCTTGTTTGCTCTTGTTCAGTTCCTCATATTTGAGTTTCCATTGGCTCAGCTCTGCCTCCAGCTTCTCAATGTTCTTAATGAGCGCATGCTTATCCCTGACAGAGACACATGACATGTTGTACATGCACAATATAGATCATTATCATCATCAAGTCCAAACAGATTGTTCTCAAAAGATCTGGTCTACTGAGATGCCTCCAGTGGGTGATTTCTCCAAAGTCAACAAAGATATATCCGTCACTGTGTATCATAGGTGGTGAAGGATACATCTATGCTGACCCTGTCATTTTTATGAGAAGCTCCAAAAAGACTTTGATTTCATTTGTTGAGTTCTGGTCTATTTCATGCATGTATTGTTTCCACCTGGACAATGATCTCTTACTCTCGTTCTTTCAGCAGGACTTTGTGTGAGGTGTAATTCTCTTGATAGATTAGTTACAAACACATTAATGGAATAACAGACATGCTTAAGCAAGTCTAGAAATGATAAAAGGGTTTCAGGCTAGCCCCTGGCTGTGGCCCCATAGGTAAAACACAAGGGGGGCTGTGCTGGGAGAGGGGTGGTTCTAATAATAGGACAAAAAATGAATCCAGCAAATAGCACAGACTCAGATAATGAAATCACAGGGAGATGCATTGAACCAGGTCTGTGGCTGACCTATTTACAACTGTCTACCTGTGTCCAGAGTGAACAGCATTGGTTATTCTGTAGGTCTGTTGTGTGGTTTGTGCATCTAGCTTTTAATAAAAAAATAAAATAAAATCATGTAGCATTTTAAAACGATTTACAAACAATTTGCCTAACCGGGTTTGACAAGTTTTCACATCATATTATATTAGACAGCATTTTTTTCACTAACACTTTTGGTGCGCACCCAGGTTCATTAAACATCAGACTTCGGTTCGTTTAGATTATGTGAATGCCATTTTCCGAATACAGGTGTGCACCCACAAACTATAAAAAAGTGGCCTGAGGTAACTGAGAACTGCAATGTTTGCAATCATACTCACTTGCAGAAGTGAAACGCTTATTTATGTGTGTGCTCACTAAGGCTACATTGTGTTTGGGATTGACAATCGAATTTACTTACAGGTGTGAGTCTCGAACTGTACTATTCACATAGCAGCTTACATTAGTGCCTCGAACACTTTCTATATGAACGAGTAGCAGAAGTCAAGCCGTATTCTATTTGTGACTAATCCCCTAAAATCATAGCAACAGTGACTAACGTAATATCAACCATGGCAAAGTCCATTAAACTGAAAAGTCTAATCACATTTGAAGTGACCATTCCAGTTGAGGGGCAAGTTCATCCGCCAAATCTTGGAAGCGGAGCATTTGAGCATCATGACACACAGCTCATATCTGCACCTCTGTACGTTTCCAAAACCACACAGGAAAGCCCATAACATGACATGCGCATTAGAAGTCAAACTCTGGTTTGGACCAGCCATTCAAACCAAGTGTGAAAACTTTTGTCAACAATGAAAACATAACAGTACTTGAGGCAACAACATATTTGATGCTGAAAATACAAACATAGATTGCAAACCAATGAGATATGGTTAGGACTAGCCAACATGATGCCTCAAAAACGAAAACCAAGTGTCTGACAAAATGCCCTTATATGGTCAATGCGAAAGAGATTTGATTTTTTTTTTTTTTTACGTTTTATTGCATCTCTCCTAGTTAGGACACAATGTTAGGCTCAGATTTCTTGTTTTTGGTTAAGGTTAGTGCACAAGCAAATTACTAAAACTACTTTTTCCACTGAGTCCCTTTCTACTCTGACAAAATGCTCATGCTGACCGTTGCATTCTGTTTCACTCCATGTAGCTGTTTTTGAGTGTCCAGCTGGGAGTTACCAGGCAACCCATTAACTAGTCCTTTCTGAAAATACATTGTTTTACACTAACCTTCTGCTTGTCTGGTTTGTCAGTGTCTACATCTCTCACAGGTTCCTGCTCTGGAGAGCCTGGCCCATCTCTCACATTCTCCTCATCCTGGTTGTCCTGCTTGATGTCTGGTTCCCAAATTTATGTAGGTTTTTAGAGAGTCAAACTACTACTTTTCTTCTTCAATATGACATCGGTATAACCCTGGCATTTTTTTATTTTATGAGGAATCAAAAAACTTAAATGTATTTTTGATTAAAATAACAGATAGGACAAAAAATTGCCAGATTTGGCTCTGAAAACTAGAATACATATAAACTCACAGAAGATCACAAAGACATACAGGAGCAATGAGAGCAAACAAGAGAACAAGAACTTTCTGTCAACATCTCACACTGACATTGTTGAACAATCCAAACCACCATGACAACCCAGTGCAGTTTTGATTTACAAGTGCTCTCCCTTTCTCACACTCCCACACACAGGCTGTATTTACTTAAAAGAGTGCAGGGTGACAGAGGAGGAGGTTCCAGGTCAAAAGGCAGCCAGCATTTCTCATCTGCTGTGAGGAAAGAGTTACAGCCCTACAGCTTATGGAAGTAGGACCTTGTGTATGCATATGTAAAAAGTGTGAGGCTGCTTTTCACAGTGTGCTGGCTTTGCATTATGAATTATATTTTATATATTATATCAAAAACAGCCCTCTATGTGACCTGTAAGACAGGTCTGAACAATTTTCAAAAATCTGAAAACTTTTGGAACTGAAAATTGGAAGGTAAATATTTATTATGGAATTTTTTTAAATGACAAAATTATATGTGACATGCTTAAATATACATATTAAACTACAGCCCCCAAAAATGCACGTTTTCTTAAAAAAATATTCGTAGTTCCAAACCATTGCATGTTTTAATATGAACGACTTTTGTCATTAATATACTTCCATATACATGGTACTGACGTAATTCCTGTGGGTTGTTTTTCTCTCTCTATGTAAACAGTACCTTCTTGTATTTTTGTGCCAAAGTTACACAGTTTACTGTCTTTACATGTTCATCACAGGATTTTAAATAAAACTTTGAGATTTTATCCTAGTAGTTGAACAATAACATGTATAATGTTTAAGTTTTGTACCTAAACTTACTTAAACGTTTATTTTGGTGCAAAGTCTACCTCCATAGACTTCCCTTATAGGAGCACTACAGTAAACTGTGGCATTAAGCGCACACACATACGCCTGTATTCAAACCCAGGAGGTTTACGGGTGGGGCCTGTGGCTTTGGGAGCTGCCGGCTTGTGCATTAGAACATAGCGGGGCAAGAAACCGAGGCATAGGCTCCTCATAAAACACTACTCATACAAAAGCCCCCTTTTTATTAGCTCAGCTGATAAAAAAATGTTGAGACTAATAAGTTTGCTGCAAGCAGGGCGGGTGCACAAGTGTTTTTAATAAAAAACTATAGCCCCATCAGAAACTTGCTTAGCCCCAGCACAGCCCCCCCCCAAGGATTTCCTAATGATGTTCCTGTTTTTTGGTGTCACTTTCATTAACATTGAAAAATAAACATTAAAACCCTAAAAAAAAGTGCCTAATATGTGGCCTATAAACAATTGATATTATGGGGGAGGGGTCAAGCAACACGCAAACTGTGCGCAAGAGTTACGCCGGTGAACGTCAGTCAGTCCACTATAGAGAAAGTGAAAGTAAAAAAACTGACGGAGCTTTCTAAAGTTGCATTAATGCCGCATATTCTCGAAAACAACGAAAGACCAAACTACTTGAACATATGCTGATAACGGTATATAACTGTCTTAAATTATTCCCTTAATATTTCTCTTGTGGCCCGTATAGTGAAAAACATGAAGAAACATATTTCACGTTAAACAGGTTGTTTTTGAAAATCGGTCCACGAAATAAAGCTGCTCTTAATTTTCATTGATGACTGCAGTGTTAATATTTTTTATTATAGGCCTATAATTCTATAAATTATTAGACCTGCTTAAAAAAAACGTTTTAAAAACATTTTCAATGAGGAGTAAGTATGGAAGAAAAATAATACCATATGTCTTTGAAACAAAAAAGTAACTGAAAAAATAATGCATTGCATTAACAGTGCTTGCATTTTAATGCCTTGTATTTCCAGGGCTTGCATTTTTAGGTCCTGAAATCTAACATAGTTGTTTATTTAAGCTGTGAATATTTCCATGCAAAATATTTCAAACACATTTTTATAATTAAAAATGCAATCATTCATATTCACCTTCCAGAATTCACTTCCAAAATATTCAATCTGTTTAAAAATACGATGTATAATATTCGACAGGCAAATTTCGGTCCATTTTATTTCACTTTCCAAATTCGCTTCCACAAATTCAGTGATCGAAATTCGGCAGAAAATTCGCCATTGCACATCCGGGAGCTGCAGGAATAGCAGTAGAGCACCGATGCATGATCTCCAGCTGCTGTCAGTCGCTCACCAGCAGGTGGCGCAAGCGGCTGTTGATGAAGTCCGAAGCAAGAGGTGGATTAAGTCATTCATTCACAAAAACTGATCTGCAGAAATGGAGCAAGCGCTAAGTAGAGGTTTTGATTACTGGGGCCAGTATAAACATGTGGAAAAGCTGATAGTGTGTATGTTTAATTCAACATCTTCGTTGTTTCCCGTAGCCTACATGTAAGCAGCTTTCTCTACCACAAATGAGATTATAATGCTATTTTACCCAACGCTGAAGTACAGAACTAACATTACATCTGAGGAAGACATACAGTATATTGCTTTCGGTTGCTTGGTTTCTGTAACTTTGTATCATGGCTTGTGTGACGCTGTGTTGTAATACTGGGATTCCCCTCATACATCACACACTATGATTCCTTGACGACGCGTAACGCACCTCAGTGAACTAATACAGTGACATGAGACCTCTATGTTAAATTCAAATTTCAGGACCTAAAAATGCAAGTCCTGGAAATACAAGGCATTAAAATGCAAGCACTGTTAATGCAATGCATTATTTTTTCAATTAGTGCTATTCAACATGCTTTTTTGTTTCAAAGACATATGGTATTATTTTTCTTCCATAAGTAAACTAATAGCCTAAACTTTAATTATCCTCACAGTGCGTCATGCGGTGATTTCATGTAATTTAATAATAAAAGTAACCTAATAATAATAATAATAGGCCTAATAATAAGAAGAATGTAACAGGCCTACATTAATTGGAAATGCTAAATCCTCTTAATATTGCCTATTTTTTATGCTTTTGACCATATCTCTGGCTATCGTTGACACATGATACGATGCAATTTAGCACAGGGAGGTTATCGCGATGGCTCCCCTTTACTCTAGCACCCCCTCTGAACTGTTAATCCCCCCCTTAGCACCCCCAACAAAAAAATCCTGGAGCCGCCACTGTATATATGTATATATATTAATTCATATTTAAGAAATTTTAAATCATTTGCAAATGAATTTAAAAAAATAAATGTGTAAAATAAACATACCTTAGATGACAACAACTTGATTCTGTAACCCTATTTCAATATTTTAATAAAGAAATATTTAAAATATCAAATAAAGAAATATTTAAAATATCAATCAAAAAAAGAAGTAAGCACTGTAACCAACAGGGCACTCAGTAATCTGGGAAGTTTGTGTGCACTGGGTCTAGGAATCATATTTTTTCAAGTAAAGCCAAGGTAACACTCATTTAACAAACAGCACACAGTGAAAGTGACATGAATATGACAGTGGGCAAATGGATAAAGCGTAGCACGGTTCATGCACGCGATCATGCAAGATACAAATGAACATCACAAGATCTCACAGCTTGGATTTGACTAACTCTGAAAGGTTTGTGAAATTAAATGTTTATTAGACATTCAACGATTTGTTTAAATGATATAAAAGCATATTTTCTGAATGCTGATGGTAAACAAGAAAGTACTATAATGTTTGCCTTTCTAATACCAATAATATAAAAGCAATCGTTATAATACTTTTTTGTATACCTTTTAATTCCTTTGTGTTAACAGTTCTATCTGATTATTATTAGACAGACTTCTATCCACATTAGACAAATGTGTTAAACGGTGACCGCAAACAATAAAAAGGGACAATGTGAGCGCTGTGTGCGACGGTGCTGCGGTTCTCAATGGCATCAAAATAAAAGTCCCGCTTCAAACACATCGGCCAAACAGAAAAACTTATCAGCCAATGCCGATATTTGAAAAATGTAAGGCCAAATATCGGGCGATATATAGGTCGACCACTATTCTATGTCACTGGGTGTTTTTTGTGATCTTCAGCTGACATGTTGGAGGCAATGCAGTTGTCATGCCAATGAGCTCCTGCAAGGGTGTGAAACAGCAAAAAAAAAAGCAAAAACAATGCAAGTGAGAAAACGGGAGAAAGAGGCAGAGAATTTTAATTAGTTCCAGAGGCTTTCAAAAGGAGATCCTGATTAACCTAAATGATGCAATCTAAACAGCATCTCCAGCAGAAACATGAGCAGCATGGAGAGACAAGTGGATGAAGAGAAAGAGGTGAGGAAAGTGAAAGAGGCATTGAGAGAGGGGGGAAAATGTAACTGGAACCACTGCAATACTGCTGACAGCTCAAAGAAAGAGCAGTTGATTTCAAAAGAAGAGCAAAAGCTTGCTGAAAAGTGAAAGATTTGGATGAAGGTTCAGGCTTGCCTTTTGTCAAAAGCAAAAAAGTACTTATTCCATCCTTGGGAGGATTTCATTTCATGAATGCATCTTTGACAATAGGGGGAAAAAACATGCTTTTAATACACACACACACACACACACACTTGTAAGTTCAACAAAAATCTTAAACATAAACAGAGGATTCTATCTCTCCACAGTACAGCTACAAGCCCAGCATGGGTTTGATGCTGGTCTAGCAAAACGTAGCTGATAAAGTTGGTAGACAGTGGTTTATCTTGCTAGTCAAGCTTGTTAAGCCTGGTGGGGATACCAGCATAACATGCTACACATTTCAAACCACACATATGCAGGTGTGCTTTATCGAAAAGTACATGTCTAAGTCTATGACATAAAGGTCATTCTGCTTTATTGAACAAGCTGTTCAGAATTCAAATACACTCAAGCATTTGGCTAAATTGAGAAACAC